CCAGATTATCAACAGACGACACATTATCTATCATAGCTGCAAGATGTTCACTATCTTTTAGAAGAGCATCCATGTAACGTGTAAGTTCACCCCTGGTGACACCAAATTCTTTAAGTCTTCGAACCTGCAAGTAGAATTATACGTTAAAGCTGAATGAATTCTCAGACGCAAAGAAAAAGTGACAATGGCTCTAACAGTCTTTTAGCTTATCTCTTCAACCAATCCATTATTCATCAAGTCCAAATGATCAATCCAACGAAAGAAAGAAAAATAGTATTCACAATGAAGATAAATGAGAACAAACAATAAGCAAACCTCTTGGACAGCAACTTTCACTGCATTTTGCCAATTTTTGGGTTCTGCGGTGACAGTAAGAGTCGTAACAGTGCATCCTTCCCTTCCTGAATCACTATGGTCCAGTTCAACTGACGTAAATGGTGGGTTTGAACTCTGAAAGGTACAAAAATAACATCACCAAAATTTACTGACAGTATTGAGTCTAGTTATAGTGGACATAATTCCTAAAACCTTAAATATATAATATAGCTACATCCATAAACTGGAAAGGAGGTTTTACTCTAGATTGCACCTCGAGATAATGGAAAACACAGTTATATTATTTGAACAAACCCATTAGAGAGCCGCTTTTATAGAAATTCAGTGAGATTTGAAGAGATTCATTTTAATCTATAAAAAACTTGAGCAAAATATACTGTGCAAGAAAATGAGAAAAAAATTTCCCTTCTCGAGTAAAAGTGAGAACAAATGTATTCGGAAAGGCGACATCCTAACACCCTCATACCTTGTATCTCGTATTAATTCGAAAATGTAGAGCAGAGAGAAATATTCTTTTCATCAGAACATTTCGCAGATCTCCAAATGTCTGAACCTTGCTAACAGGTATCTGCAGGAAGACAAAAAAAATTGTAACATTTCATAATATAAACGACCACCCTATGTTGCATGTGTCATATGAAGCTTTCTGGAAAATAGGGAGAAATTAAAGATTGTAACAAGAACCTTGCAAAACATGTTGATTGCAAAATTTTGAAGAAGCTCATGCTTAAATATCTGCGGAGGCTTTAGATCAACACTGGTTCCAGGAAGAGACCAGTTATGCTCAACCGGGGGACGAATTGCATGTCTTTCTCTTTTAATCATCTTAGATTGATCAGCAGTGTTTGTTCTCTCATTTGAAAAGGTTCCACCAAGACCAGCTGGCAGCTTTGGAACAAGAAAATTAGCCATGGCACCAAAGGCACCAGGAGTAGGAGAAGTGGGTGTTGATTCATTATCCAAACCAGTTTTTCCAAACACAGCCTATGGAAGAGCGATTGTCTGGTCAAGATAGACTACACAGCATAAATTCAAAAGCATTGTAAGAGAAAGGTAAGAGCCTATCTTACTTCAATATTGTGGACTATCCGAGGTATGTTGTCAATGTCTCCCACAATATATAGAGTGGCATTGGCTGGGAAGTACCATCGCTCATGAAATTTTCTAATTTTGTCAACATCCCACTTCTTAATCTGCTCTTCCAATCCAATAGGGAACCTTCTACCCAGCTTGTTCTCAGAATGTAGATGTTGCAACAACTAGTCTCAAGAAATAAAACAAAATGTGTCACTGATTATCCACCAAAAATTGGGCAGCACAAAAGGCTGTTGAGCTGACATATAGAAAATTATTCTTCATGATTACCTGGCAATCAACACGATACTCAATTGTATTCATCATCTGAAGTTCCGAAAGTATAGCCCGCCTTTCTTTCTCAACTCGAGAAGAGAGGAATTTTGGGTGAAAGGCTATCTGTAATCATTTGAGAAATAAGATTTTGTCTGCCAAATGAATCATAATCCATGAAACATAAGAGGGATTTTGATTCTTGGCACAGAAAAAAATTCAGGACATATCCAATTGGAAGACATCATCTTAGATAGTAAAATTATACCTCATTCAAGGCATCAAGCACAGATGGGAAGAGGTCATCCTCAGAGTCCTGAAAAGGTTCAGACCTATAATTAATATGAAGCTAGTATTCCCTCTGTCCAACTTTATCAACAGAATAGCAAGCCAGTAAGGACACGTTCTCCAAATTATCAAAATAACATCTAGAGAGGACTCGTTCTCCAAAATATCACCAAGAAACAGACTTCAAGGTCTATAAACAAATAAAGATGAACACCAAACCCAGTATTTTTCCTCATAAGAGACATAATATTCCATTGTGCAACATATAGATCTATAGACTATAAGCACCTTATTTGTTAAAGCAAATATGGAGGCAACAAAAACCTGTGAAACTGAACTTACCAAGAAAAAGCTACATCAATAAATACGCCAATAGGTGTACAAGATAACAAACCTTTGTGTGGGTTGGAGAATGGATATGAAATACTGTATGGTGGAAATCGGTGTAGGCATTAGAGCGGGCACCTGTACCAAGAAGTTTCTCACGTTTCTTGCTCCCAAGGAAAGCAACATGTTCTATCATATGAGCAATTCCTTGCTCATCATCTTCCTCATCAATCGATCCTACATGAACTTCCATGTGTGCCTCAAATCTAGCATTGAAACCATTTCAGCACTTACATAAGAAATACGAAGAAGACCTTAGAGGATTCCACCATATACTTAAACTTATAACAGAAACGGTGAACAAATAGCCCCCATTCTCCATTTTCTTTACTGTTTTTCAAGGAAAATAAATGATATATCGACATAATGTAAGGAAAACCAAGTTAATAATCTAACTCTGATGCATGAAGCAACCATTAAGAGAATCACAAGTAAACCAACTTCAAGCATTTTACCCAACTTACCTGTTTGGTGGAACTTTATTCGGCAAAATAAGATACCGAAGCCCATTTTTCAATTGCCCCCGGTGCAACTTCGGGTGAGAAGGAAGTTCACAACCAAGAAACGCTTCTAGCTCAGCACCATCTATCTCAGGAGGCAATAACTCCAAATCTTGTCTCTCTGCGACTATCCCATCTGGCCAAGCTGTACCAGCAGCATGTGGCTCATCTGGTCCAACAGTTGCATTTAAAATCTGAGAATGTTTTCTCTGAAAATATAGCACATGTTGAGTCAGTTAAACACATAGTTCAAACAAGGCGCAAGACTAGAACACAGAAGGGAAAATAGTATAGCTTACGAACCAGAGAAGATGTCAAACGAGACCTCGACAAACTAAATGAAGTTCTATCCACAAAGGCACTCGGTAATGATCTTCTAACTCCGGATTGAGTTCTTTTACAAGTAAGACAGAAATTACGTCCCTGTGAAAGTGATATCCCACTAGCTTCTTTTCTGAAAATCGCGCTTCGGTGTCCCAAAACAAAGCTCCTCTTCAAACGTCCCTTATTCGAAGTTGGCTGCGACCTTTGACACCATAAAATTCAACCAAAAATTTAACAATCGATTTCAATAAACCTATTAGGAATCGCAATTAACTGAGAAGAAACAAGACTCAGTGGCTATAATTTCAATTTCCATGAATTCGAAACAATAACAAAGATGTTGTTAATTTACTGATAAACATATCCATCTCAAAATCTAAAGCTCTGCGCGAAGACTAAGACGTACCAAAGACCATTAGAAGGAATTACAGACTGAGCTTCAACGAGAACACGATTGGGAGTGAGACGCGGCGACGTTGGATTAAACCTAACTTTATTCCGGCTATCTTTTAGATAACGAGAGCGGCGGCTATCTCCAGAGTTAAAAGGAGCTAAGATCGGAGAGAACTTAACACCGGTGAAAATGGAGGAGGACGATGAAGCCATCGTCGGCTATTGAGGACAAAGGAGAGAAACTAAAGGTGGAGGAGAAAAAGAGAGACCCGAAACTAAAAAATAAAAGAAAAAAGAAGAGGGAGATGAGGTAGCTACGTTTATTGTCTTCTCCTCCCCGAATTTTTTTTTCTTAAACTCTTTCGTATATTCATGTTTCTTTCTTTTTGTTAATAAACCCTATACTGTATTTTTATTCCAAAATCAAATCTTCTATTTGTACCAAAAGGTTCTCAAGTTTTTTTTTTTTTTTTTTTTTTTTTTTTTTTTTGACATCCTTAACCACTTGACTAAAGGCACATCCCCAGGTTCTCAAGTTAAAATCTCAATATATTGGAAATATTTTCTTCGACCGTCACCGAGAAGATTTAACTGGTCGGCCAGGTCGTGGGATAATGGCAAGTTTTAATGGATTTTTTGGGTTATAAGATTGGCGGATTTTAATACTACACTCGAACTGGAATATGTCTTGATCTTGGGTTAACCAGTTCGACTAAGGGAGTCTAGGTCCGACGTGAAAACAATGTATATTATACATGCGACTTTGAACTGGGTTTGGGTAATCAAACAAAACTTCGGTTCAGATCTACTCAGCTATCAGTTAATTTGGTTTGGTATTTCAGCTAAAACACGTACAAAAATTTGATTAGTTGAAAGAAGGTTCGAAGGTTTTGGGCCTCTAGCTTTCGGTTCGGGTACGGATTTTAAGAGAATTTTTGTATAATTTCATGAAATTTGGTTTAAATTGGGATAAATTACACAAATACAAAGATAAAAATTGTTCAGCCTTGAAGAAGAACTTGACTAAGCTGTTGGAACTGTTTGAAATAGCTAGGAAATCAGCTGATGTTGCCCATGCAAAGGGACTTCTGGCGGCTGAATTAAGTAGATACATCAATCTACGTAGACACTCTCTCCTTACTCATAGAATTCCCCAACAGCTCAACAACTACTGAAACAAGGCAGATTATGATGAGGCTTAAGCATCTTACAAAATACAAAATCATAAAATTTTGCATAAACACTTCTTTATTGTTGGAGGCAGCGCACTAGATATCAACAACACTAAACGGAGGTTCTAAACAGAGGTTCTTACTGTTTTAATGATTAAAATTAAATGAAAACAGATTAATTAAGAGAGAGTCGACTCTTAAAAGAGAAGTTTTAGAAACATAAGAGCCCCTTACGTGTCATATTATGGTTGGCGTTTCTCGTGTTTTGTTTCTCTGTCGTCTCTCTCTCTCACGAGCAGCCGAGATCTTTTTTTGATGGTGTCCGTGTTCGTGCTTGGTCTGAAATTGACGAAATATCCGAGAAAGACAACAACAATTAGAGAGATTCAGACAAAGAAAAAGAAAAGGACTTTGAAATTCTGAGGATGTTTGGGATCCAAAGGAGACGTGATTTGACGATGGAGCTACAATCTCAAATTATGATTCTCCGTCGATGGGAAGGTCACGCCGGCAACGACGCAGATTGATCATGTGAGTTTTGGTATAATCCAAAGTCTTGATTTTTTCCTTTTTGATTCGTCGAGTTAAGAAGGTTTGATTGGGTTTGTTGTTCTTCACATAACTTAGTATTTTTCAAGAAAATTTTAGGATTGAATTTCGCTGATCATTTGTGTTAGGATTAGTGTAGATCTATTGTTGATTCTTGAAAACCCTTTCTCTTCTTCTACTGTTGTATGATGGTCACATGAGGCTACTTCATAATGTTATGTGCTATGAATACTTGATTTCATCACGAGGATCTTGAAATTGTGTCTCTGAGAAAGTATCTTGTGTGATTTAAGGATTGATGTTAGCTGCAGGAAACCAACAAGCTTGGGTTTTGTTTTCCAGAATTGAAGAGATCTCTTTACTGTTGTTAGTCATATATGTGTTTATAGATTTTGTTGTTGTTGATGAGAAACCTATGATTAGTATCCACTACCAATGTTTTAAATTCTAATTTTTAGAATGATTATGTTTTGAGTTTATGAGAAAGACTTAAACTTTGTGTGACTGTTGATACAGGGGAGAGTTTAACTTAACTATCTTTGAAGATGGTGTTTTGTCATCTGCGTTTATGGTTGGACTTTTTGTGGCTTCTCCAATACTCACCAGATTATCCAAAAGGTTTGACTTGCCATGTCTGTAGATTCAGTTATTGGGAAATTAGATTTTAGAAAAGTTTAGTCAATGAGAAACCCAGATTAGTATACAGACGTAGCATGACAAGGTTTTGAAATTGGATAATTTGAGGTTTAATGGGATTGATCAAACCGTTGGTTATAGTCGTGAAAGATCTGGGCATTGGTTTATTATTTTCTCTGAGAAAAAGTGTTGATCTTTTAAGGTTTTTGATAATGGCAGGACATAGACGAGAATCTAGCAAATAGTGCGATTGCAAATCTTGTTTAAGTGGACATGTCTATGCAAGATGAACAAAATACACTTCACTTAAACTAAAATAATTTTAAAAAAATTAATTCTTAAGAATCCCTAGTGAGATTCTACCATTGGAGAAGGAAAAAATAAAAATTTGCTTGTTATGAAATATGTGATTATTCATCACACAAACCTACCCACTCATCCCATTACACAAACCTACCCACTCATCCCATTATCCACCTCCTAATATTAGCCATTATTAGCTATTCCATTAAGGCATCATTATGTGTATATATAGACGCTATTGTGAATGTAATTAAAGATGAAATAAGAGAAGCAAATTTATTCTCTAAACTCTACTTCCTATCTCTCTCTTAAATCAGAAATCATATAACATTTATACACATATTTATCTTCATAATATTTAGTTATTCAACACGTTATCAGCACGAGTAAGCTCTCGTGTCCAGAATCAACCGAGCATCCGTCCGATTAAAATTTGTTTATTTATAATATTTAAGAAATGGAAGGTTATACCTCCTTCTTGATCCTATGGAAGGCTATGCCTCCTGATAATAGGATTTTAAGATCAATTACTATCCTGTCGTTGTAGTATTTTAGGTGTCAATCCACTTTAGGTGTGATGCAAACAAATGAGATATGATCAGAAAGTACTAAGTCAAGCCAAGCATGAATTGATTGTTTTTCTAACAGTTCTAGTGATTGATGCAGAAAACAGTAAATTTGCAGAAATGGACTGCTATACTCGATCACAAGGCTCACTGCCAGAAGGGAGGCTGTGATCGAGTAAACTGGTCCAAAAACAGACAATTATCAAATTCAATAGCAAGTAACAGAGAAGGTGAATGAAGCAGGTAAGCAAACAGATAAATCAATTGGATAAGAAACTCCTAAGGATGGGGTAATCGAATAGTGTGGACTTCATAATCAATTTCGATGGTTAACAATTCTCAATGAAGCTATCCCTAGACAACAGGTTCAACAACAGATTTATTCACTCCCGTGCAACAAATCCTCAAGCAAAGCTAGCCCAGACTAATTCCCATTAACAGAATCTAACTATGCAGGCAATAAGAACCGACTGTTAAAGTCAATAACCGCTCTAAACGGCCAATCCATTGGGATAGAGACGATTATCACTGGAATTAGTAGATCAAGCATTCCATCGAACACCTTCTGGGTGCGGGAATGCTTTTGATCGAATTCCAGTTGATCAGAAAGGAATAAGCAGTAAACACAACTAATCCAGAAGGGATTCAATAAAACTACACTTAACCATCAGAATCGACTAAAGGTCTCACATCTACTCTATCCCATCCTCAGAAATCCTAGTCACTACTCAGACAACATGCTCAAAGACACAGAAACGATTGACGATTGCATAACTTCTAAGATTAAAGGAAATAAAACAGAAATGTACAAGGAAACAAATGCGAAATCTCAATAACTTATAAGAAACGAAAATACAGAGTTTCAGAAGCAAAAGCGGCTACTGAACGAAACTAGGTTGCGAGTCTAAAACGTAGTTGAAAAGAGAATGTAAAAGTCGATGTCTCAGGGGAAACCCTTAGAGACTTATTTATAGCAAAAACGACAAGGATAAGTAAGTGGGCTTCGAGTCCGCTTAACAGGCCCATGGAACGTTGTGGTCGAGTATATGGGCTCAAAGTGGGCTTCATGGTCGAGCGTGAATCGAAACCCGCGATCAAGTGGTTCCTTCTCTCCTCTTCTCTTTCCTTTGCTCAGGTTGTCTGGTTGAGTGCGGATTGATCAGAGGGTCGAGGTGGTGATCGAGTAGAATGGTTGGTGGCAGGATCTGGACTGCTTCTTCTCTCCTGTGATCGAGTAGGTTGGTTGATGGACTGATCTGGACTGCTTCTTCAACCCTACGATCGAGTATGTGGGTAGACTGTCAGGATGGACTGCTCCTCTTCCTCTGTGATCGAGTAGAACTGTGAACTGGCAGGATGGACTGCCCTGTGATCGAGTATAAGGGTCCTGGTGGTCTGCTGAGCTGACTGCTTCCCTCTCTGCTACTGGTGATCGAGTATAAGGGTCCAAATGTGATTTTCAGCTCTGTTTTTCCTCTTTCTGAACACCAATAGCTCCGAAACACCTGAAACAACTCCAGAATGCAAAATGCATGCAAGACTAATGCTAGACACACTTAAACATGCAAATTATGCGAAATGATGATGAATGCTATGAAAGATGAACGAAACTAGACTCAAAATGGTGATAAATGGATGTATAAAACATGCAAATTATAGACATATCAACTCTCCCAAACTTAGTGATGAGGACCACGTAGTCTTTGCTTGCCCTCAAGTAAACAAGTAAGCATAAGATGAAGGAGAGGTTTGAAGGTGGGGATTCAGAACCAAAGCATCAGGTAGAATGGATAAAATCAAGGTCCAAGTTGGTAGTTCTAGGATGCGATATGATCGATCTCTACTCAAAAACGTTAGCCATGCCTTGTTATAGTTCAATCCGACTCTTATACTCGATCCACACATGCTTTTAAATCGACCAATCCCTTTAACATTCATTAGTTTCAGAACGTGAATCAAGCAATGCACCATCAATGAACTCATTTGGCTTAAGGTGAAGGTCAGGAGTCAAAGACAGTCCCTTTAAGGTGGTTCAAGTTTAGTAACAGGGACTCTCAAAAGAAATGGACTGAGCTTTAGGAGAATGCTAAAGGTAAGACCCAACTTATGCATACAAGAACAGTATCTCATCTACCCAATAACATAAACCGTGTTTACACCAGCAGATGGTACTACCCTCAAGCCCATAAAATGATCCTAGTTCTTCCCTTTTGCACTCAAGGCATTTTTTCTCATTTTTATCTTTGATCAAATCACTCTTTCTTTTTCTCTGACTTTGTTTTAAGGAGAAGTTTTCTTTTATTCGATGGATCTAGTGGGTTTGGTTTTTCTTTGACAACTATGGCTCTTGTTATCTTCTTATGATAAAGACTTTTCTAAATTTTTGCTTTCTTTTGTCACAGAACCTATCTATTCGACTTTTAGTTCCTCAAAACCCATTACTAGAGTAACTTGTTTCTCAACTTCCTTCTCCTAAAAACATCAACCTTTTCCTTCTTTTACTCATATACTCGATCCCCACCCAAAAATAGACTCCCACCTAGTCCTATCTAGTCCATAAAACATGGACTAGAACTACATGAGACACTACTCTTGTCGGTTCAAACCTAACACTTTCTACCAAGCTCAATCCTGAAACAGGCCTCACAGTCACACACGAGATATTACAGGGCTTTTAAAAGAGAGGTTTGGTTAAGGTCTAGGGAAACTGCTTCTATGATGGAAGCAGCTACTTGGGTTAGCAAGGATGGTGAAAAGTTGAAAGAAAACCCAAGTATGTATATGGTATCCATGAGTTCAAATTTGATGCTAAGACATGATAATTGTAAATCAGATTCAGGTTCAAATTGATAGGGAATGGTATCAAATCATGACAGTGTGATCGAGTAGAGCATTCAAGACATGGTGCAGTTTTAATTCAATTTCATTGACTACGCATCAGACAACTAGCAACGAGGGCACTGAGTCTATCTACTGAACCAACATGCTTACAAGGCTATTTCATCATAATCCCCTATGCATATGCAACAATCCTATATGAAACATACTAGACTCGATCCTAAATGTGATGCAACTAGATGAACACTCTGTTTTTGTGGAATACATTTTCATAAAATTTTCAAATTTTTTGGTTTTTTCTATGCTTTAGATGAATGCAGACTCAAGTGTGAAATGCAAAATTTGAAAACAAGACTCAAAGAAAACATGTTAAATACGTCTATGCTTTAGATGAATGCAGACTCAAGTGTGAAATGCAAAATTTGAAAACAAGACTCAAAGAAAACATGTTAAATACATCTTGAATTCTCCCCCAAACTTAAACTACACAGTCCCTTGTGTAGTAAAAATCTGAAGGAGATTTCAAGAGAGACACTATAAAAACAAAAGCAGAAAATGGTATTTACAATGATGGTTGGGTGTGGTACCTCAGTTGAAGGTCCTGGAGATGTAGTCGTCCATCTCCTCTCTGGTGTATTCCCATGGGATGCTGGGTGCTTGATCTCCTTGTGATCGAGTATGTGGTGATGAAGTAGAATTTTTGTGAGTAAAAACACACATACTCGACCCTCCTACTCGATGGCAGAGTCTCCGGGTGCAACAAAATTTTTAAAATTTTTGGACTCCACCGGGCTGATATACTCGATCCCCATGTCCTTGGTAGAATTTTTTGAATTTTTACTCTATCTCCAGATTGTTTCTCCATTCCTGAGAACCACAAACACAATCAAAACAAATCAAAAATAACAAGAAA